TCTTTTTTTTTTTTTTTTTGGATTGAACTCAGGACCTTGGACTTGTAAGGCAGACGGTGGCACCACTGAGCTAAATCCCAGCCCTTATTCTCCTTTACTCCTTGTCTCCCCGTCAGCGAAGTGGGCTCCATGAGGGTATAGCTGCATCAGTCCTATACACTGCTGGGCCCCCAGCGCTCCAAGGAGCTGCAGCAACTATGTGCTGGAGGGATAGACGGATGGACAGACGGATGGACAAACAAGCATGACAGCGCCGAAGGGACCGATCTCACCTGCAGCTGGGCCAGGACGTGGTGGTAGTGGAACAGTGTGCAGAAATCCACGTGGGCGGAGAACTCCTCCAAGGCCGCCTTCTCTGCTGGACTGGAGTGGAATTCCTGTCACCTCAGGAAGCAAAATTTCTTTAGGCCTCTTTCCCCTTCTCAGAGGAGGAATTCTTGTCCCAGAAGCCCAAATGCATGGTCGGAACTCCACGCTTTTAAAAACTGTTTTATTTGGGGATGAGGGGGAAGGCTTGAGCAATTTTATTGACCAAGAAACTGAGGCAGCCAGATACAGTGAAAAACAGTTGGTCTGCCGGAAATGGTGGCACACTCCTTTAATCTCAGCACTGGGGAGGCTGAGGCAGGAGAATTACCATGAGTTCAAGGCCAGCCTGAACTACATAGTGAGACCCCACCTCAACAAAAGGAAACAAAAAAACAAATGGCTTAAAATGGTGGAGGTCCGAGTTCCTGCTTTGACACTGACTCAGCAACACTGGCACAACATTTAGGGTGCATCAGGTGCTGCCTAAATGCCATCATCCTGCAGAGACTGCAAGGGGTAGATAGAATCTAACCCCCATTCTTCAGAGGGGAAAACTGAGGCACAACATCTGCGTGAGGTGACTCCAGTCCTGGCCCAATTCCAGGTGTCCATATTGAAACTCTTCACCCAGTTAAATGTCTTCACCTCAACAAGACTCACTTTCCTTCTCGCAGCCGAGGGTCGCATCCTCTTTCTCAGAGGGCTCTGGTGAGAGTTTGCGTGATCCGTGTCCGCGTGAGTGTCTGTGTCCGTGTCCGTGTCCGTGTCTGTGTCCGTGTGTGTGTGTGTGTGTGTGTATGAAGTGTAGCACAACACAGTATATACAGCAAGGATGCAATACATTTTTAAGTGAGTGAATGACAATCCTCCGTAATAACAGGTGTGACCATGGTGGGGCAAGAGCTTAAACTCTGGAGTGGGACCAAGATTAGGGTAAGGTGAATAAGTCATCCAAGGGCAAAAAATTTAAGGAGACACCAGGTTTTAAGGTCAAGCAAGGCTGGGCCACTATGCTGTGGCCTTGGACAAGTCCTTTTCCTCCTGGTCGCTTCCGCTACCTCACCTCTAAACAGGGATGATAGTAGTACCTCCCTCAAGGGGTGCTACTCCCACACAGTGCCACAAAGTAAGAGCTCAAATTGTGTGATAATTGTGATCATTGAGAGCTTTGCGACTGTGTTTTTATTTGGTAGCAGAAATGGTAATAATGAGGGTGATGATTATGCCCACTTTACAGAGGAAGAAATCATGCCCCACAGAGCCCTTGCCCGGGAATCGTTCCTGCTTCTGATCTCGGAGCTTTGGGCCCTGCGGTCTGCCTCATCACAGCCATGTGAGAGAATCTCGAACTACAACTCCCAAGAGGCTCTGCGACAGTCCTCCAGGGCATGCAGGGCCCAGCCGCCCCGAGGCCTGCCGGGAATCGTAGTCCCCAAGCTCTCGAACCCGGGACAGGCAGTACCTGTATCAGGAGGCGGAGCAGCTGCTCCTTGGAGAACGGAATGAAGCGCTCTCGGTACTGCTGGGCCCAGTCGCGGGGCTCTGTGGGGTTCCACATCTTGCGGTACACCCCCATCTTTTCCGCCAGGGATGACAGCGCCCGAGGGGTCCCGAGGAGAGCTGACAACTGTGGCCACACTCGGACCCTGGACCCCCAGACCCCTCGGGTCACATGCAGCATGGCCAGACCCTTTCCCCCGAGCCTGAATGGAGGGAAAAGAGCGGAGTCAAATGTCATCCGGAGGAAACTCGGCTCGTGTCGCATTCTGCAAAGCCATCCTTGCGCCAGGCAGGGCGCAGAGCCTGGTCCGCCCGCCGCCTACCCTCTTTGGCCGGTCCCCTCCCACACTGCTCAGTGAACCTGAATCCTAGCATGTGGTCAAAGGTCAGGGTGTTCTGCAGGCCCAGAGAACCCGCAGTGATACAACTGGTTTCTGCGGAATCTAGGCGGAGACTTGGATATTGGGCGTATAGGAAATGCTCGGAAAGCTACCTAGGGGATGCAGGGCCGCCCGCCCCCGGCCATGCAATCCCCCCGCCCTTCCCTCACCTTAGCCAACGCTCGACTGTCATTGAGCCTCCTGCGCATGTGCAGACGGCGTCCTGGGCTCCGGAGTTCGGCTTCAACTAGCCGTAAAACGCATGCGCAAATCCTGTGTCTTTCAGAGGAGTCCATTTCTTCCACCTGCCTTTCTCGATTGCACATGCGTAGTATGCGCGTTTAGTCCCCCACCGCCAGCACCTCTTTGTGAGGCGCATGCGCCACAGAAGTGTCTCCTTGTCCGCTGACTTCAAAGGGAAGGGGCGGGACAGGCACGAGGCGAGGGGCTGGGCAGTGCGCTCGCGCGCAGCCCGCCAACGGCGAACAGCCCAACGTCTGCTTAGGTCACGCCCCCGCTCAAATCAGCTCCTGAGTAGGCAGGGAAAGGGGGCGGGACTTCCGCGCAGCCAATCAGCCAGGGAGGAGCGAAAAGGCGGGAAAAAGAGGAACCAGAAGAAGGCTGAGGCGGTACCCTCGAGCTGGAGGGGAGGGAAAGTGCAAGGCAGAGACGGCCTTCAGGTGACGCCCACCGGCCCTGAGAGCAGAGGTGACCCTTCTTCCTCAGTCAGTAGCACCCGCACCCCCCAGCGCCCCCATTCCACTAGCACCGAGGCTTAGTCTCCTCTTTCTGTGAGGACAGCTTGTTTCTGAGGTTCTCTCCGCGTCCCCGCCCAGCCTTGCATCTTTGTGAAAGATGGAGCCAAATTCTAAGGGGACGCTCTCACTCTGGGAAATAACGCCAGGTCCCAGTGACAGCCTGATACACCCCGAGTGCCCGGGTTCTCCGTAGGGGTACTGAGCCGGGCGTGGTGGCACCGCCCTGTAATCCCGGGGAAGCTGAGACAGGAGGATCACCGTGAGATTGAGGCTACCCTGGCCTACAGATGGAGACTCTGTCTCCAAAACGAGCAAACAAAATGATAATATGAATACTAGTCACCCCCAAACCTGAAAGAGATTCCTCTGGTTCAGATCTCCCAGGAACTCCTACCTGTGTCCCTCAACAGGAAGAAGGCTGTCCTTAAACTGGGCCTTCTGCCTCCTGTGCCGGAGCTCCTGGCACAGCCCTCTCCACGCCCCTTCCCCTTGGCCCCAACCCCTCACCCTTCACTGCCCCTGGGACCCCCAGGAGCCTGGAGTCAGAGTCCTGCAGTGCCCCGGCCCGTACCACCGGCTCCTGGGGGACCCCACACCCCTGCCCGAATCCTGACTCTCACTCCCCATCGGTGCTGTCTTGCAGCAGCTGAACCCAGGTGGGCCCACAGCACGCAGACCCCGCACCGGTGTCTCCACGCCCTAGGGCCCCAGCAGGACAGCGGCCGCCATGCGCCTCCCCGAGAGCCTGCAGGACCTGGCCAGCAGCGAGGCCGTGCGCTTCCTGAGGAGGCCAAAAAGCATCACACGGATCCTCGCAGGGGTAAGGCCTCTGTGGCCCACCTGTGGCCCTGGGGGACAGGGGACAGAAGAATTCTGAGTCAGGCTGGAGGGAAAATGAAGCAAAAGAAATCTGATAAGGGAAGCCACCTTTCACCAAGCACCCAGCTGCACCCCACACCACTCCAGCACGACTAAGTACTTGCAGGAAAGAACCATTAAAAGGAGGTGCCTTGAACCCCTCCTCCTCTTTTTTTTTTTTTGGTACCAGAGATCAAACTCAGGACCTTGCACTTGCAAGGCAGGCATTAGAAACACTGAGCTACATCCCCAGCTTTTAAGGCTTTTTGAGCTGAACGCCCCTTTTTGAGGATTCTTGAGACAAGATCCCGCTTTGTAGTCCACACTGACCTGGAACACACTATGTAGCCCAGGCTGGCCTCAAACTCACAGTGATCCTCCTGCCTCAGCCTCCTGAGTGCTGGGACTACAGCCCTGCTGTGTGGGTCATCACGCATAGCCTTTTTCTGGTTTTTCCTTTTATTTTGTTTTTTGGTACCGGGGATCAAACTCAGGACTTTGCACTTGCGAGGCAGGTGGTGAAACCACTGAGCTAAATCTCCAGCCCTATTTGCTGGTTTTTTATGAGACAAAGTCTCACTCTGTAGTCCTAGCTGGCCTTGAGTTCACTAGCTTCACACTCATGGCAATCTGCCTGCCTCAGCCTCCCAAGTACTGGGACTACAGGTGTCCACCACCATACCCAGATGGGAGTCAAATCTTCATCAAGCAGACTCTGCTGTGTGACTTTGGGCCGATCCCTGCTCCTCTGTAGACATCACCGAGCAGGGTCAGAGGGCGGCCCTGGGCCAGCACCTGCACTTTGCCCTTGACACATTGGAAACAGGCCAAGGGACACGCTAGGATCCGATCCAGCTCCGTATTGAGCCTGGGTGTCCTCACAGACTCCTAGTCTGGAGTATTCGCTCCCTGGATCTAGGGGGCCTTCTTTGAACCTGTCTGTCAGCAGGGCACAGTCCCTGGATTTCCTGGGCCAGTCCCGGCGTAGTTGTCACGGCGGCAGCTTCCATTCTCAGGGGTGCCTGCTGCTGTCCCGCAGTTTGCATGGTTCCCCGACTGTGTGACCTGGAGCGCACTCCTCGCCCTCTCTGAGCCTCCTCACAGCTGAAGTGGGAAGGACTGGTAGTGAGACAAGTGAATGCCGCTGAGCAGGGACCTGGCAAGTGTAAAGCTTTCCTTAAATAGCAATTATTATTGGAATAAATCACGGCTCATGAGCGAGGACAGAGATGGGTAGAGGATGCTTAGGGTGACAGGGACTTGAGTCTCCAGTGCCGCATCCCTTGCTGGTGGTGGCTGCTTTACTCCTCACCACAACATTCTTGCCCCTGTGTAACCCAAGGGGAAACTGAGGCTCACCCAAGGACACCATGAGCCGGCGAGCGAGTCAGAGCCAGACTTGCCCACCTGTCCCCAAAGCCGGAAGGAAGGGCGGGTGGTGGGCAGGAGGAGGCCCAGCTGGTGTGGACGGTGCCTTGTGGTGGGGAAAGACGGGGCCCCGGCTGTGCCAGACGTGCTGGTCACGGACTTCACCCACGGCCTCCGTCCTCCTCCCGCCGCCCTCTCCTCTGTCCCCCCTGGCCTGGCTGCTCAGCAGGGAGCCTCCGGGCAGCTGGTGCTCCTGTCCTCCCTGCCACCTGCCAGCTGCTGCCTTAACTGATGAGTCTTTGCTTCCTCCCCAGGGACAGGCCGGGAGGGCGTGGGGGAGGCTGGACTCAGGGCCCTGGGCCAGCGGTGCCCCCTCCCCAGGTCTCCGGTGTCCCCGGCTCCACCGGGGCTGTGGTCCCATCTGGTCAGTGGGCAAACAGCCCTGGGCCTGGAAGTCAAGAGATCCCAATCCCACTCTGCTGATAAGTGACCTTGAAGGGACGCTTCCCCTCCAGGGCGACTCCTGAGAGCCATGGTTTTCCTGAGCACCTACTAGGGCTGAGCCTGACACCTGCCGCCTCGCCCTTCATTGCAGCGGTCACAATGGGAAACTGAGGCTCGGGGACCTGAGCGATTTGCTCAAGGCCACACAGCTGGCAGAGTCTGGCTCTTTCCACTCCACGTAACGGCTTCGATTTATGACCTGTGAAACAGAAACGCATTAATAACACAGCCCGCGCAGGGTAGGTGCAGGTGCAGTGGACGCAGGCTCAGTGATGACAGATGTGCCTTCCCGTCCTTGACCTGGCTTTGCCCCAGACCTTCGGCTGGAGGTGCATCCTGCACCAACCTGGTCCTGGGTCCCTGCCTCCCTCAGGGCAGCAGTGGCGACATCGGGGTAGGCAGAGGGACCCCTCATCCTCGCTGTCATCGTTGTCATCATAAAGCTGCAAAGACCAGATGGACCCAAAGCCCTTGGCCTCCCCTGTCCCAGCTCTGAAGGACGCAGCAAGAAGAAGCCAGAGCTGCCCAGTGGCGCGGTGGGTGCTGGGGACGGGGGAGGTCCCCAGGGAGCCTGTCCCGCTGGAGCTACAACTCTGCAGAGGGGGCCATGGTGGACGTGCTGTCCTCTCAGCATCCCTCAAATCTCCTGTCACCAGCACTGTCACGTGCAATCAATCCCCAAGTCCAATTTTACGTCCTGAATATTTCCGGATTCCCCACGGCTCTGGCCCCTGCACCAACCTGCTCTCAGGTCTGCGGCCTCTCGTCTCCCCTGCTCCACCACAGCACCCCGGGGGACCTCTCTGCCCCCCGGGTGTGACCCTGGCTGTCCTCGGCTCAGAACCCTGCCGCACACTGATACAAACACGAAATTTCACTCTCCACAGCTCCTGGCTCCAGCTGGGTCTCAGAGGCCCTGACAACGGCCAGGTTTCCAGCCATGCCTCACCCAGATCCCTCAAATGTCCTGCTCACCTCTCCTCATCGCGGTCCGCTTGGGATCTGTTTACCTCCTAACTTCCACATGACTTTGTCTACCCTGCAAGCCTTGGCCGTGCCCCGTGCCCTGCCTCTCCCCGGCTCCCCTCCTGCAATTGCTGCCTAACCTTGGGGGTCTCGCTGCTCCCTCCGTGCCAGCATAGCCCTTGCTGCACTGGGTCATGACTGAACCAATAGCTGGGCTTCTACCTTTTTTTTTTTTGTACCAAGAATTGAACACAGGGCCTCGCGCTTGCCAGGCAGGTGCTGCCACTGAGCTGCATCCCCGGCCCAGGCTTTGACTCTACACTGATCAAATGCCCCCGTCCTGGTGTTTGGTCTACAATGAGGAGCACAGCCAGGGGTTCAGAGTAGACTGAGGAGCCAGGCGGCTGTTCAAATCCAGGCCTTGCTGCTTCCCAGCTGCCCAAGTGCAGCCCATTCTTTGTCCTCTCTGTGCCTGAGTTCCATTACTTAAAAAACCATGTGCCAACTGTGGTCCCAACACTTGGGAGGCTGAGGCAGGAAGAGTTCCAAGAATTCAAAGCCAGCCTGCAGTGAGTTCAAGGCTAGCCTGGACTGCTGGGACCCTGTCTCAAAAATAAAACACAATAAAATAAAACAACCGAACAAATTAAATAAAACAGGGCTGGGGATTTAGTTCAGTGGTTCTGCCGCCTGCCTCCCAGGCACAAGGACCCGAGTTCAATCCTTAATACAAAAAAAAAAAAAAAAAATTAAATAAATATATAAAATTGGGCTGGGGATTTAGCTCTGTGGTTCTACCATCTGCCTCGCAAGCACAAGGACCTGAGTTCGATCCCCAATACAAACAAACGTGTCTAATAAATAATAAATAAAATAGAAAACAAGCCAAGTATGCACACCTGTAATCCCAGTACTCTGGGAGGCTGAGGCAGGAGGATCTCAAGTCAGACCCAAACTGGACAATTTAGCAACTTAGCATGACTCCATCTCAAAATAAAAATAAAAAGGCCTGAGGATGTTGCTCAGTATGAAGGCTCAGGGTTCAATCCCCATTGCCAACCCCCCAAAAAAGTCCTGAAACCCAAAACATAATGTTAATATTTGTTGGTTCTGGGTAGGGTATGCTGGGTGTTTATTACATCTCTCTGCACCTCTCTGTGAATGAGAACTGTTCCAGATGGTCCAGCCAAACTTGGGGACCTGAGTCTGCTGGCAGGAGAGTGTGGAGCAAGGCAGGGAGGGGTCGGGGAGCCGGGATGAGGAGCAGAGGAAGGCAGAAGCATCTGAGTCTAGGCCTGGATCCCATGTCTGGAGCGGGGAGCCAGGTGGTGTGGAGGACCAGGTGGGCTGAGAAGGGAGGCAGCGAGCAGGGAGGAGGCTGGGCAGGGTTGGGAAGAGGATAAAGCTGAGTCGGGGGAGAAGCAGGGACACACAAAGGGCAGACTCAGGGCTCTGAGGGGCGCTGAGCTCTGGTCTGGTCCCTCGAGTCCCCAGGTCTTCGCCCTGGTTGTCTTCTCCTCCCTGCTGACCGATGGCTACCAGAACACGACAGACTCCCCGAAGCTGCACTGTGTCCTCAACAGCAACCGCGCAGCCTGCAGCTTTGCCGTGGGCGCCGGTTTCCTCGCCTTCCTCAGCTGCCTGGTCTTCCTCGCCCTGGATGCCCGTGAGACCCACATGGTCAACACCCACCTCAAGATGGTCTTCTGGCTCCTGGACATCATCCTGGCGGGTGAGCCTGGGACCCGGCCCCTGTCCCACAGCAGCTGGCCTGCACACGAGGGCTCACTCCACGTGGCCCCACATTTCCACACAGGAATGGAATACACATTGTCCAGACCTGGTGTAAGGGCCACCACCCCTCCTGACAGCAGGCTGATTCTAGAAGTCTCTTCCTCTCTTGCCTTTTGTTTGTGTGTTTGTTTTGTTTTTTGAGACAGGGTCTCACTATGTAGTTGAGACTGCCCTGGAACGCACTATGTAGCCCAGGCTGGTCTTGAACTCATAGCGATTCTCCTGCCTCAGCCTCCAGAGAGCTGGGATTACAGGCGTGCACTACCACGCCTGGCATTTTATTTATTTTATTTTATTTTTATTTTTTTGGAGACATTGTTTTGCTTTTAGTTCAGGCTTGCCTTGAACTCTCAGCAATCATCCTGCCTCAGCTTCCCAAGTGCTGGGATGACACCCAGCCTAGGGAAGCAGTATGGAGTCGGGCCGCTGTTGCCCAGGGCTGGCCTATGGCTTCTGGGTTGGGGGCGAAGCTCCCCACAGGGGGTTCACTTTCAGGGGTTGGTGGGGACAGGGGGTGGCAGCAGAGGGAGGGCAGGAGACCCGGCCCGGCCCGCACTCCCGGCAGCCCCGCTGAGCGTTCTCGCCACCCCTGCTCTCCTCGCAGTCCTCTGGGCCATCATCTGGTTCGTGGGCTTCTGCTTTCTGGCCAACCAGTGGCACCATTCATCCCCCAGAGAGTTCCTCTTGGGCAGCGCCAGCGCCAAGGCAGCCATCACCTTCGCTTTCTTCTCCATCTTTGTCTGGGTGAGGACCCCACACACCTCCTGCAGGGCGGGTGGGAGCTCCAGAGCATCCACTGCCACGGGGCTGCCCTGAGGCCCACCCGCCTCCAAGGCCGGGCCCTGCACCTCCCTCCCTGTCCCCGCCCTCACCTGCTAGCTCGAGCCGGCCCTTAGCCACCCTTTCCTGCCCACAGATATCCCAGGCCTACCTGGTATTCCAGGACCTCCGGAGCGACGTCCCGGTCCCGTACAAACGCTCCCTGGATGAGAGGGGCGTGGTGCTGACCACCCTCTCCCCACTGTCCACCTCCAGCTCCGTGAACCTGCCCATCTCCAGCCCCATCAGCCAGAGTTACTCCAGCTCTGCCCTGTCTCCCTACACGACCACCCCGAAGGCCGCCTGCCTGGCCATGATGCCAGACAGCTAAACGCCCTTGTCCCACAGCAGTAAATAGAGATTGTTTCTCCAGAGGGTTTCTGAAACAGCACTGTGCTCCTCCTGTCTGTTCACCAGGTCGCCTGGGGGTCTCTGCAGGGGTCTCATCTCCATCCACCACCACCTCCAGGCGCCACGTGACAGAGGGGGTGATAGACGGGAAGCACTGAGCAGCACCTCAGCCTGCACCAGTCAGGAGGAGGAGGCACAGGGTGCCCCATCCTGAGCTGAGACGAAAATGCTTCTGCCATTGGCCAGAGCACCATCGAGAAGCAGGGGCTCTGGGGGTCCAGGGATTTGGGTCAGTGGTGCCATGCCTTGCAAGCACAAGGTCCTGAATTCAATCCCCGGTGTCCGGGGGTGGGGGATCAGGGCCAGAGCTGGGTGCGGTGGTGCACACCTGTAATCCTAGCACTCAGGAAGCTGAGGCAGGAGGGTCACCGAAAGTTTGAGGCCAGGCTGGGCCTAGTGAGATCCAGCCCAGCCTGAACAGTGAGACCCTGTTTCAAAAAAAAAAGAAGAATCAGGGCCAACCATGGGACAATGAGACCCTGGGTGTGGGTTCTCGGGTGCCAAAGTCCAACGTCTTTTCATTCCTCACGGTGATGGACTCCACATAAAGCCATGCTGTGAGGGTGGGTAAGCGACAGCGGACTTGTAGTCCATGAATGAGATTCAAAGGAACCCGTGTCTTTAAATCTTTCAAAGTCCATGCTGGGAAAAGGGGAAGGAGACCCACACTCCCGTGAGGCAGGTAAACCACAGCGGGTGGACACCTGGTAAGGTAGGGGTGGGGACAGGGCCAGTCCGGGCGGGGAGGCCAGAGAAGAGGCATCCGACTGGAATCCAGCAGCAGCCACATCAAGAAAAACAAAATAAGGGAATTTTAATGTACTTTATTTAGCCCCACATGTCCAAAACACTACCATCAACACGTAGTCTATGTAAAAATTATCAGAGAGGGTTTTCCATGCTTTCATACTAGGTTTGGAGATCACCTCACCTTGGGTTTACTACATTTCAAGTACTCACTGGTCATCTGCCAGGCACCCACTGTATTCAACAATGCAGTTTTAGAACCTCCTGGCTTCTCTAAAACAACTAGACCCCCATTTGTTGGGCTTTTGATTTGGTTTTCAGAGACGGTCTCACAATGCTGTCCACACCGGCCTTGAGCTCACTCTAGCCCAGGCTGGCTTTAAACTCATGGTGATCCTCCTGCATCAGCCTCCTGAGTGCTGAGATCACACGTATGCGCTACCATGTCCAGCAGAGAGGACATTTAGAAAGTGACGATACCAAGGGTCAAAAACTCCAATGCCAGGCCAGGGATTCAGCTCAGTGGTTCCGCTGCCTGCCTTGCAAGCACAAGGACCCAAGTTCGCTGCCCAGTACCAGAAAAAAAAAAAAGTTCCAATGCTGCCATGTCTGGCAGTGCACACCTATAATCCCAGCACTGAGGCTGAGGCAGGAGGATTCCCGCTAGTTTAAGAACAGCCTGGGCTACAGAGTGAGGACCGCTCCCCCTCAAAAAAGAAATCCAAACGCTTACAGAACCAAGCAAGTACCATACATGCATGCAGGAAAGGGGCCAGGTCTGGAGAGAGACCTGGAAAATATCTTGCCTTTTAACCCCACAAATAAACCAACACACAAGGCAGTCGGTGCTGACCTGATAACGAACGATGACAGCCACGCAGCCAAGTCCCGGGGGTGTGGGGAGGCGCACGTCCCATCCCTTCAGTGCCCGCCATCTGTGCCACCCAGAAACAAGGCCCCAGCTCTGTCAGGCTGACGGAACTCTTTTCAAAAGAAGCCAGAAATCCAGACTTCAATGTGAAAATCTGGTTCTGAAAGGCTGGCGATCCATCCTTGTTCTTTTCTAGAAAACACAAAATGCTCGACAAAATAGGACTGGCCGCCGACAGGGGCGAGGGTGGGCCGGGCGCCCCTTTCTGGCCTCCAATGCAGACGCTCTGGACTCCTGTGGGTCCGGAGAAGCACCAGACGCTCTGGATGCCAAGGTACGGAGAACCTCTGAGCTTTTCTCCAAAACCTCTTCCCCAGCAGAGCTGTGAAAAGCTGAAGTGCTGCCAAGTGTCGTGGGAGCCCCATTTCTCAGGTTGGGGCTCCTCCCAGACCTCTGGACCCCCACACGTGAACAGACACAAAGCAGCAGAGAGAGAGGGGCTGCGTGGACCCCGCAATGAGAAGAGAGGACAAGGCGTAGCGAGAGAGGGTATCATTTTCCTCTGTTTATTTCAAGAGAACAAAGAATCAACCATCAAATTCTGTACAAAAGGGTGGCGCTAGAGCTGTGGGGACCCACGGGCCGGCCCCCTTCCCGTGTCTGAGCCCAGAGCCCCCCCAATTTGTCAAAAACCAAGACAAGACCAAAAACCCAAATCCTGCAAAAAACTATTAAGAAAATTCTTGGGAGACCTTCCTGGGGCTCCCTCCCTCCCTCCCTGTCCCCCACCCCGGGACTTGTGCGGTGGGGGAGCTGTGGTCACGGGGGCCACTGGGCGGGGCAGATTTAGGGTTTGGCAACCAGTGGCGGGGCTGGGGGCTCGAAGGGGACCTGGGGAAGGGAAAAGGTCTCCCGGCCCTGTCCCTACTCACAGGACACTCAAAAACAGTTATAAAAATTGGGGCCAGAGAGCAGTAGGGAAAGGACTCATCGGAATCAAAAACTAAATAGTGGATTTTTTTTTTTTTTTTTTTTTTTT